AGAGAGATCTTCCTTCCACTGGTTCACTACCCAAATACATGCAAAAACCAGGCTGGGCCAGGCCAAAGCCAGGAACTTGGAACTCAATCCAGGACTTTCATTTGTGTATCAGGGACCCAAGTGCCTCTCAGGGTGTGTATTAGCAGAAAGCTGGAATCCAAACGGACTCCAGCAGTGATGCAGGCATCCCAAGCAGCCACTTAATCCCTGTGCCAAATGCCTGCCCCTGGATGTTTTCCTCTGGAGCAAAAGTCCCATGGGTGCACCCACTGCCCAGTATCCTTGAGACAGTCCCTAACTGTTATGAGTCCCTGCATGGAAAGATCCACCACTGCATAATTATATGGCAGACAGCGCCACCCTGGGCATGTTTGTGCCAAAGACAGAGCAAGAGGAAATAGCCTTACTATGCAAGACGAGGGATGGGGGTGAGGCTGACCATCAGTGAATCTGCTGGGGTTCCTGGGGCAGGAGCAGAATCCCCTTCTTTAGAGATGTAACAAGAAAAGATTCTGGCTGTGCACCAGGGAATGAGCACCCTGATCCCTGAAAAAGATGCTTTGGCTCAGCGGCCACACCAGCCCCCTTGACTTCCCCAACTGGCTGTGCTCAAAATTGCAGGAAAGCTCGTGGGCCCTTTGCTGAATTCCAGTTTCCTGGTGAGTGCAGGAACATAACCAGATCTCCCTGGCTGGGAGCCCTATGCAGATTAGTTTATGGAACACTCTTCTGTTCCTTAGAGAAAGTTCCTTAAATAGCCAGAAAGGGAATCCAGTGAGGCAGCCGGCCCACACTGCTTCCCAGGGGAAGCAAGGAGCCCTCTCCATGGGCCACTGCTGCTGGCGCCGGGAGGAGCCCAGCAAGGCCGTCCCCGAGAGCTTCTGCGTGAGGAGGAGGCAGGGTCTTGCTTTGTTCTGGAAAGCCAACTCCTCTGCCACTGGGCACAGCCAGAGATTGCCAGCAGGTCTGCTCCAAGAAGACCCCACAAGCACAGGGGCCCTCGGCCTAGCTTGGGAGCTGCAGGAATGGGGGCTCTGTACCTACCCCCTTCTGGCTCCCACCCCAAGGTTCCTGCCCTTATGGACAGCACGGGGCCAGCCATGCCTTCTGCCCACCCCGCAGGCATCACCACTGTGCATGTGGGCAGCCCTTCCTGTGAAAAAGATTGGGTGTCACCTCTCCATTAAGCAGCAGAGTGCAGGGTTAACCTGGACTCCTGCCTTCATCATGCAATAAAAATAAGACCAAGTCGAGGTAGGTTTCTGTAACCAAGCACAGTCATGAATCTCTGCAGAGCCACCAAGGATTCGTCCTCTGCCGGTTGTGCCTGACTTGAAGCCAAATTTAACACCAGCCTGTTCCCTGAGCCTGGGAGGATTTAAATGTTCCCCAGCAGGTCCTTGCAGGAGAACCTTGCCCTTTTGCTTCTTACAAAGCAGTGCCCACAGAGGCATCCCCTTCCATGCGGGTGCAGACTGTCAGCATCCTCACCAAGAGCAAGCACTCAAGGGCAGACGGTACAAGGGGGCGTACACTTGTCAAGTAAGAAAATGACATTAGGACACCCAGAGGGATCGGCCTCTGGGAGAAATAAGGCAGGTGTTTTAATTAATCATCACGGTGCCCCCTGGAAGCAGCCTGCATATCCAAAGACTTCCTTCTCTAAAGAGCCTCAGGCCTTAGTTTGTCTCCTTCAGCCAGACTCAGCTGTGACACCTGGCACACCTGGGCCTTCTGGGGCTGCTCCTTACCCCGTGGTGGAGAGGTGGTTCTTCCTGGTGCTTACCCTCCTGTTAAGGCTCAGGCACTGGGCAAAGCGTGTGCCAAGCAGGATCTTCCTGGTGGAGCTCGGAGCCTTGCAGAGCAGAAAGACCATCCAACCAGAGCACCAGCTGTGTGGGAGTGTAGGGGACCGTGGAACACATTCAGCAAGCCCTGGTGAGGGGGTCCTACTCCAGGCAGAACCTTCCTACTCCTTATCAGCGAGGTGCCCATGGCCATGTAGCCTGGAGCTGCCCCAAACCAGACCTGAGAGTGGAGAGTGACCTGGGGGAGCATGAGTTCAGAGGAGCCTCACCTTCTGCACTTGCTGCCTGTTCGAAAAGCGTTTGCGTCACATCCTTTAAGGCTCCGTAATTCAGGCTCTCAGAAACCTGAATTGCTGCTCTTCACCTGCAGCTCTGAAAGCCACCCTCAGGAAAACAACTTGCGGTTTGCAATATGCTATGCTGGGAGGGAATAGGATCAGCAAGTCACCGGGGCGGAAACAGAAACCACACACAGAGAGAAGGTGGAAACCTAGGATTGAAGAAGCATCGAAAATTCCAAACAGATAATTCATGGAGAATCCTGAGTATCTGAATCCATGGGAGAAGAAAAGGAGCAATTGTGGATTCCGAGTTAGACAGTGAGAGAGAGAGACAGAGAGAAAGGTCTTCCTTCCGTTGGTTCACCCCCCAAATGGCTGCTATGGCCGGTGTGCTGCACTGATCCGAAGCCACCAATCGGGACTAGAACCCGGAGTGCTGGCGCCGCAGGAGGAGGATTAGCCTAGTGAGCCACAGCGCTGGCCTGATTCCTGAATCTTAATACATGAAAGAGTACAGGGCTATTTACTAAATGGTCTCCCTGCCTCCAGACTGACCTCCATCCGACTCATTGTGCAGTTCTGACTGTGCGCTATCTTGCTACAAAACCAGGAGCTTCGTCCAGGTCTCCCATGCGGGTGCAGGGTCCAAACACCTGGGCCACCTTCCAGTGCTCTCCCAGGTGCGATAGCAGGGAGCTGGCTCAGAAGCAGAGCAGCCGGGACATGAACCAGTGCCCATCTGGGATGCTGGTGCTGCAGGCACCAGCTACACTACCATGCTGCCCCCTCTTGGGCATCTTTAATAATCCACTGAAAGCTGAAAACCTAAGCACACCCATCAAGCAGCTCTGCTTAAAAGACCCCCAGTTAACGATTGAAAGGATGAGTCAATTCAATTGCTACAGTATTAGGAGATTTCAGGAATTAGACAAATGATAGAAATCAGTGCAAGGAAGGGCCATAGAGAGGAACCATAATCAAGAGCATGACCTTAGTGGAAGGATAATCAGCATGTGCATTACTTACCCAGATGGCCAGGATCCTCTTGACCAATATGGCTCTGGACCCCATTCCCAACTTGACCTTCCACACACCTGCACCCCAGCCAAGCTAAACTGCTGCTGCCCCCTACAGGCCCCTGGCTCTTCTGCCAGCACCCAGCCTCTGCTTACTTCAGCCTCTCCCCAGCCTGCCGCTTTCTCTCAGGCCCTCCATCGGGAGCACAGGTGCCCATCCTCCAAGACTCACCTCTGGCCATCTCCACCGAAGACTGCTTTGCCCCACTGGGCGACGTGATCTCTCCCTCAATTCCCTTTACTGTGTCCCTCGTCACAGTCTCTTGTCTCAGTTATTTGTTCCCTTGGTTTTTTTTTTCAATGAATTATAAGTGCCGTGTGACCAAAGACTGAAATGTTGGGAGCGTAAGCTTCCCTTCCTTTGCCCGCAATAGGTACCCGACAAACAAGAATTTGATCTCGCTGAATTCCCTCCATGCCTGTGGGGAAATCGACTTCTTCTTTAATAGCAAGGTAGGGGTGTGTGTTGCTAAAGGCAAAGCCCGTGCCTGGTAAATACAGTAAGCCCAGTCAGAACCCTCTTCTTGGGCCCTCTCACTCGTTTTCTCTCTCTCCCTCTCTCTCTCTTTCCTTCTCTTTCAAATAAATAAATCATTTAAAACATTTCTTTTTTTAAATTTTTGACAGGTAGAGTTATAGACAGTGAAAGAGAGAGACAGAGAGAAAGGTCTTCCTTCCGTTGGTTCACTCCCCATATGGCTGCTATGGCCGGCGCTGCGCCAATCCGAAGCCAGGAGCCAGGTGCTTCCTCCTGGTCTCCCATGTGGGTGCAGGCCCCAAGCACCTGGGCCATCCTCCCCTGCTCTCTCAGGCCACAGCAGAGAGCTGGACTGGAAGAGGAGCAACCAGGACTAGAACCTGACGCCCACATGGAATGCCAGCGCCACAGGCCTCCACTGTGAGCCACGGTGCCGGCCTAAAACAATTTTTTAAATTATAACCCTTTTCATATTTCAGGGATTCGGAAGTCAGGTGATCCATCCTAAGTAGAGCCAGATATATTCTCCTCAGACCCATTATTTAACTGAAACTTCGCATCGTAAGCTTGACCAGTAGGCTTGGACACAGACTGCAAGGAGAATCTAGGAGACCGGGGCAGGGGGGCGGGGTGTGCATGGGAGGCTCCCAGTTCCATGCAGCAGAAAGAGGGAGCTCCTGGGGAGCCGCAGTGAGGGCTGGGGTGGGGGGGGGGGGCTGGGGAGTGGACGGGAGGACAGAGTGGGTGAAACTGTTCACCCAGGCCCACCGGGCTGCACAAGATTACTCAGTGGTCGCGTTCCCATACAGAATGTTTGCAAAGCAAAATAGAGAAAGGCAGTAGTTGCTCCTAACAGCAAGTTGGTAAATGCTAATCTCTCTCCATGGAGAATAGCTGGCCTTGGGCCGTGGGCCATTGTGAGTTGAAGGTGTCTCTGTGCGTCCAGTCCTGATTGCTCTCAGCTCCCATCAGTACCATTTCCAGCGTCCCCAGGGGAGGCACTGGATAGCTTTGGGTGGAAGGAGACTTACACCCATCAAGCATGCTTTTGGCACTTCCTCGTAATTCTTGTCTCCAGTGCTTTGCTCGGCCAGGCCCTCATCCTTTTGGATGATTTGCGGAACCCGGTCATGTGTGTGCATTTAAAGCTGTCATTCCCTGCTGGGATGAGGAGTTGCATCTCCCCAAGCTCCCGAGACGCAGGAACTCCTCAAAGCCCCACTGCCCATCTTGGCTCTAGAGTTGGGAGAATGAGGTTCCCGGTGCCGTCATATCCAGCAGTCTCCCAGTGATGGTACAGTGTGTCTCATGCATCCACGCCTGGCTAACTAACGTGCGGTGCCCTCTCCACCCACAGGTGCCAAGGGTACACAGGAAGTTTCCCAAAGCCGGCCGAGCGCACCACTCCTCCGACAAGAAGCCTCGTTCCAGTCCTTCTCCAAGCATCACTGCCCCGAGCTGTGGCGGCAGCCCGCAGTCCCCGCTCGACTGCCCACTCCCAGGACCCAGCTGGACGCACCTGCCTCCCATGCACCAGCAGGAACTTGCCAGCAGCCCCCAGGGCCCTCCCTGGTGTTTCCAGCGAAGCAAGTCCTTGTTCTGTTTGCCCACGGGAGGACCCTCGCCAGCCACCTCCTCCGAACCACAGTGGTTTTCCAGCACAGGTGCCCCAGGGCCCAGGGCGGCCGAGTGGAGGCACAGCCAGCCCCTCTCTGTGGATGACTTAGAGGGGGCCCAGGAGACGGATGTGGACACAGGCCTGCGGCTGTCCTCCTCGGACCTGTCTGTGGTCTCCGCATACTCTGCACCCAGCAGGTTCTGCAACACGGCAGAGGCATCCCTCCCCTCCGAAAGACGCAGCAGCCACCGGCCGGGGCACAAGGGGTCCAGAGAAGCACCACTGCCCGCTGTCAGTGAGGCCCCCGCGGGCGCCTCCCAGGCCTCCCTCCCTTTCTTCATCCAAGGGTCCTCCAGCTCCTCAGGGACAGATGGCACTGCTGCCCCGGCTTCCAGCACCTCCTTGCTCCCTAAGTCACCCCCAGAGCTCTCTTGTGACGCTCCTCGCATCACCCAGACCAGCAGAGCCATGCCACCACCCGCCGTGTTGCCTGGCCCCGGGGATGATGACATGGAAGAATTCTACATCTGACCGCCTCCACCTTTGTCGTTCAGACGCACAGATGCAGACGCGCAGGCTCAGGCCTCCCTGTCCCTCTGGTCTCGGAACGCACCAGCGTTCTCTGCCCTGCTCCCCAGGTCTGTCTGGGATTTCATTGTCTGCTGCCTGGGGACCGTGAGCACATTTGCCAGTCTCTCCATTCTTAACTGAGAGATGGCGTTTTTTAGGGACTCGCCGTAAAATACTGACATTTTATGCAAATAAAATAAGCCGTAAAATATATATTTTTGAATGCTCAATTTGAGGCATGGCTTAGTGCACTTATACCACTTAAATGTTTCATTAGAATTATTTGAGATGAAAAGAAGATCCAGTCAGCCAGAGCTGATTTAGCACATTTTCCTGCTGAGAAGGAAAACAATTAAAGCCAAAATGTCGAATGTGGGAAGGATACTAAGTGACTTGCACGAGCCAGCCGTGCACAGTAACAGAATGTGCACCTTCCGGGATTCTTCGTGTATATGTGCAGTAGCCCGAGGAATTTTCAAGTCTTGCTTAGAATGGGGAGAGTCAGCTCGATAAGACAGCTGTGGACAGATGCCTGCCTTTGAGGCCATGCGGCTTCTGAAAATCTGAATTTACACTAAAGTGGCTTAGAGATTTTCTAAGGGTTTGGCACAAGTAACAGACTCATCATGCATTGAAAATTTGATTTGAGTTCCAAAAATTAGATTTGCATCTATTTTCCAATAACATTCACTGTAATGAATGAGAGCCCCAGACCACCTCTCCACGCTCTTGAGTTTATTTGGATCACTGAGTAAGACTCTCCTTGGAGTTAGAGAATCATAGAATATTAGACATACTGGGTAGGTAATCGCAAGAATTTTCAGTTTTCAAAAGCACAGTCTAAGGACAATAGGAGCTACATTTTCTACTGCTTTTTCCAGTCAGCATGCCTGGCCACAGGTCCTACATTTTTTATTTTTAAGTGACTGGTGACATTTTAGCTGGCATTTTGATTGCACAGATTAGCAACTGCCCTCTCCCCAAAACCAGGAACCTACCTACCACACTGTTCTGACCAAATACTTCCAAAAAATGCTTGCAGGCTTGGGGACGGCTGCAGCTGGAGCCCAGCCTCGGCTCTCCCTGCCTGTGGCTGGCTCTGTCGCAGCATGAGTGGCACTCAAATCTCACCCCCAGGAAGGGCATGTTTACAACTGCAGCCTCAGCAATGCCAAGTGTGACATCAGGGGCAATGCCAAGTTGTCTCCCAGATGCGTAAACATTTATCTTTGGGGAAGGAGAACATGGATGTGTGTTGTTCATGTCCCAGGCTGGTGCTCTTTGTCACAATGACTCATGGCACAGAGTTCAGCACTCCCAAAATGCCCACACCAGCCCAGCCGGCCTCCGAAATCTTTCCGACACAGTCATTCACGCAGCCCTTACTGATCTCAGACTCCCACTCAGGTCTACACCATCCTTGCAATGAGAGCCTTAGATCCTGCCTCAAACGGCCTGGACATTGTAGGACTTCAAACTGTAATATTCTACTCCAATGTAAATAAATGAAAATATGGTCTCTTCTAATTCATTTTCTGAAAAGGGCTACGTAATAAATAGGGTAGGCAGTCATATCATAACTACTGCCGCTGTGGCAGGAAAGCTGCTGTGGATAAAATGAAAATGAACGGGAGTGGCAGAGTTCCAATAAGACTTTGGTGGGCCAGACAAGGTCCAAGGGTGAAGGTCAACCAGCCCTTGAACTAGACTGCCTGGGGCTGATTCGAGACTTAAGAACTGAGACTCTGAAGTGTGTACCTTGGCTGACTGTGGTTGTGATGCCAAGAAATCAGGCTGCTCCCGTCAAGCCAATGACTACAGAACTACAGGCCCAGAACACCAAAGGGCTTCTTTCTACAGAACCAGTTCCTACACCAGCAGTGCCCTCCTGCCTGGAAACGTGACTCAGGGTCAGCCGCTGGCAAGGGAAGGCAGCGGTGACATCAGGGAGGAGGAAAAAAGTCACTCAGGCAATGGCACAGCCCCCAGGGAACAGGGGCACAAGCCCAATAGCTACAAAAGCCAACGAGGCAAAACATGAGTGGCCCAGCTGGCAAGGGATGGCCCTGTCTTCGTCCTTAACCCATGCCCTTCTTTTATTCTTCTCGCATGTCCCCCAGGATTGCCTCAGAGCCCAGCGTCTTCTCAGCGGCCCACCCTCATCACAGTCTGGTCCAAACTGAGTGACCCCCAAGGGTCATCTGAAAGCAGGAAAGGCAGATGCCCCATAACACAAGGGGGGAAGGGGCGGGAAGACCGCATTCAGGTGCTCCGGTGCCTATGTTGGGGAAATGGGAGTCACTCTGTGGAGAAGGAGCCATAGGGTGGGTTCCAGAGGCCTCGGCTTCCCTCCTGGCTACACAACCAGCACTTCCTCATCCTGGAGGGCTCCTGACACCCACTGGGGAATCCTGACCCTCTTGGATATTGTTCTTGTGAAAGATGCTGGCCTCTTACAGGTGCTCAATAAATTTTTCCATAAAAAAAAAGAGTTGTCTCATTTATTATTTCTTTGCTAACCTAGGCTCTGTGAGGTAGGCAGTCTCAGTTTTAACCCTAGCTTGATAGAACGTAAAAGAACACAACCGCTTAATAGAACACAGTTTCTTGTCTCCTCTGCCCCAGCAATGCCTGGGGGGCTGTATCAGCAAGTGCCCTGATCAAGTACACATCCAAATCAGATCCCCCATATTACTGCTCGTGATCCTACACTGGCCAATACTGACCACCACCAAGTGTGTGCTGCAAGCATCAGATGTTTCTCAGTCCACTCCCACTGACCCGGCAAGCCCTACAGAAATGAGCTTGCATTGCCTCCGTTGCTTAACACGAGCATCAGAGGGACCCTTGGGGCAAGGGTTGAGCCTTTTGGGACACACATGATAGGAAGAACTGGACTGTGGTGCTGCTCGATTCCAGGGCCTGAGGGCAGGGGGCAGTCACAAGAGGGTGTGTCAGGCTGCACTGACTGCAGGTGGGACCAGGTGTTTGCTTTGGTTGGGATGTCTTAAGCCCATGGCTGATCGCTTCAGGCCCAAGTAAAGTAGAAGTGCAGGCATCTTCCTGTCGCCTTGCTTTCGTTGGGTGAATGAATTCTCCAGTCTGTCCACCAAGAAATACTCGAATAGACGCACAAGTCCAGAAGAGATTTTTTTTTTTTTTAGAGGCAAATGAAACCAACCAGAGAGAGCGTCTCCCTCCCCAAACCCTCACAACTGTGACAAGGACCCGTTCTGGCCAGGGCTCTCCAAGATCAGGGTTGCAGGAGAGTAGCACAGTGGCTGAACAGCCACCTGCTCTTTCTCTGCCCCAGGCGTCTAACTGACCATAAGTATCACCTCATTATTTCTACACTCTGTTTCTCTTTTAATCCCCGAGAACACAGTTAGATGCTGCAGAGGCTGGAGAGGCCAGCATGAGAAGTGAACATGAATGCTGTGGACACTCAAGAGAAACACCTTTTGTCACAACTGTTACACCTGATGGGGACAGTGTTAGGTGCTGTTGTTAAGACACCACTCAAGGTGCCTGCATCCCATGTTGGAGTGCCTGAGTTTTGAGTCCTGGCTCTGCTCCCAATTCCAGTTTCCTGCCAGTGTACACCCTGGGAGATAGCTAATAATGTCTCAAGTACTTAGGGTCCTGCCAGGCAGGTGGGAGACACAGAATGAGCTTTGAGCTCCTACCTTTGGCCTGGCCCAGCCCTGGTTGTTGCAGGCATTTGGGGAGTGAACCAGTGAATGAAATTAATTCTCTCTCTCCACCTTCCAAATAAATAAAAATATTATAACAAATGTACTCATGAGGAGTCAAGACCCTGATATAAAGATCATATTTGAGTCATTCTTCAAGCTCTCATGAAGCCTATTTCTAATCTGGGGCTTACAGTTTTGGTTACAAAATGGCTTTAAATGATGTCGTTTCTCTGAATGAATTGCAGAGCCCGCCATGAGTGGTGACATCAACACACCTGGGTCTCCACCGTTCAATCTTGGCTCTGTAGGTGGTCATAGCTACTGTCCAGTGATGTGTCATTATCAAGGGCAGTATGTCCATTTCAGCTGGGAGTCACACTAGAGCATTTGTGGAAGAAGACAGGGCTCTTTCCCTGTCACCGTGACACCCTCCCTGGACTCTCCATTTGTGACAAAGGTCACCCATTCAGCAGCCAGGGATGGTGTAGACACACACAGCTGCCTCACAGCCCTGACGGTCCTGATCTAGGTGGGGAAGGTCTTGGTAAGTTCAGGGTCTTGAAGAAGCCATCCCAACTCCTGTAGGTCAACTTTTCCAGTCCCTAGAACCAAGTCCAGAGCATTTTGGGTTGGAGCCACTCTGAGTGTGTGTGGCACAGTCCAAGAAATGGCCGGCTGAATAGAGACACTTGCAGGCCAAATTACCACACTGAAGATGGCCGTGGGAAAGCTTTGGTGCCACCTGGTGGCCACTCTGCCCAGGAGGGTCTGTCACTGCTCTCTTCAATGAAGACTACCTCGATAACAGGAAGGAGAGAGGCGCTTCACATCCCTGTATTATTTTGCATTTAATTTTCCATTTAGCTTATTTCTGCAAAGCATTGAAGCAACTAACATTATCATGAAATGAGGCAATACAAACAGAAGCAGAAAATCTGAGCCAAGGAAAGGAGTCTTGCCAGGATGTCACCTGGAAAGAAGGACAACGTTAGTTGGATTTCCTGAAAGGTACAGCAAAAAGGGAAAGACGGGTAGCTCTGTCATTCCCGTGATTAAAGAATCCATGGACAATGTCTCGTTTCGTTGTAATTTAAGTGGCTTCAATGTAGTTCCTCGGAGAAAATTGAGTTTTTCTTAGTGCAGATTTTTAAAATCAGCTCATCAGGGGATGTTCCTTTTGGGATGTTCTCCATAGAGTCACAGATTTGGTCCAAGGTTGTAGCTTTCTGGCTTGGAGGACAGAATTGATGACACGTGGAGGGAGCACCCACGAGCTTCCCATGAGCCCCCCTTGAGGTCCTTCGCTGCAGGACTGTAGTGAGAGGCGGCAATGTTGTCCCTGGCAGAATGCCTGGGGAGCTGGCTTTCCCCAGCTCTTTTGCTCTTGAGGTCACCTTTGCAGTTTGGAAAGCAGAGGGCAGCCAGGTGGTGAGCCTGTCACCCTACTGGGACCCTAGGAGCTTCTATCCACCCTTCAAGCCTGCTGCGACAGAGAGTCCCCCATCTACTGGAGCCCACTCTGCCCTTCATCCACACCTCGCAGTTGCAAAGTTAATTCCAATGTTCTAATCTCCCCCAGTTCCAAGAGGCTTCAGGCATTTTGAAGCCTTTCCAGATGTCATAAATTCCCCTATCGTACCCTGCCCTCCACCGCAGGGCTGGGGAACGTTCAGCTTGTGAGCCATACGAGGCCTGCAAAATCATTTGGCCTGACCCTGCCAAGGCAACTGAAGGTGGGACTTGAAATTCAATAAATCTATAGCAGTTTAATTTTTAAGTTGATCATTTTGTATGGCCTGTGAATGATGTTATCAATATCCAAAAGGTTCCCCAACCCTGCTCCACTGAGATGCCTGAAAATAGACAGGAATTCAGGTCCCTGCACCTGTTTCGCCATTGCTCTGGGTGCATTTGCTTATCCTCATTCAACATTCGACAAGTAGTCGCTGAGTCCTGGCTGTGTGTCCGCAGCTGGCTACGTGCTGAGGCACAGGACTGGCACAGCCTTGGCACTCAGGGCACAGACATGCTCCCACCACTATCATTACTATTTACCATTTACCCATAGATTTCAAATCTTCCTGATAGAGCTGATGGAACAAACCTCTGCTAGAGTCAAAAACACAGTCCCAGCTTTTGGTATCAAAGACTTGGTTTCCAATCCTGCCTCCATCATCCACAATGACGACATGGAGGTCAAGGTTCTCTCATTTCTCTCAGCCTCTGCTTCAGCATCTGTCACATACGGACAGCCTTCCCTACCAGGGAGGGTCACTTCCAGAATTCAAACAAAAGACCCTATCCTGCCTACTACCTACCAGATGATTCATGAATGTCCTTGCTTTTTCTCAAGCTACAGAAAGGCCACAGCTTCTGAATAGAAGCCCAGAGGCCTCCTTTCCCAGTCCCTAGTGAGAGGTAGAGCAGAGCAGGTTTTCCCTGAGGTACTCTTTGCACCAGCTGTTCTACACTCACTGCTCAGCCATCTCTAGACAGAATTCCACCACGCAGGAAACCAGGCACATGGTGACCACCCCGCACGCCATGCCATCCCCCCTCCCTGTGAGTTTCCCTTCCACCACTTCAAGCCATCACCCCAAACTGGACCTTGCTGCTTGTTACTGCTCAAATACACCCTTTTTCCCAGAGATTCAGCTCTGGGCTTCCCTTCCCCAGCGACTTCCCTCTTGCTGTCTCCCTACCAATCTCTAGAACCATGAGACCCGTTCTGCCTTCTTTGGGCCATCTCCTGACCCTGGAGCCTGAGCTTGGCCATGGCACCGCTGCCCTCAGTGGTATCTTGGCACCTTGGCCCCATGGACTTTGGTGCAT